TTTTTTTTTTTTAATCATTTGCATTGCGTCAAGTTCTTTATCAATATCAGACAAAGAACCTTTAAGCATTTTTTAATTTAATTTGTCATCAGATTTTAATTGCTCATATTTTTGCAGCAAAACTGTCACCAGATATTAGGAAGAGTTTAGTGTAATATTCTCGGAATGATGAAGTGATATTTTTTTCTTAATCACTTTGTGCAGTTTGTGTACTTTCCCTAATTTGTGGTAAATTATTCTTATTTTCATCATCATCGTTTTTAGCATTTGTTAAGTCAGATTATTGAAAGTTTTAAATAATGAAATCTGTAATAAGTTGCCCAGATTTTTTGCTTCAAAAAGAGAAACTTTATGGTCTATTTGTTTGGCTTAACATCTCTAAGGTACACAAGATGCTTTTACAGTGACACTTCAAGCTCTTAATCACTCTTTGGTCCATAATAGAAGTTCCATTTGTGGGCAGAAAGTGTGTTGTAACTTTTTACCTTTAGTTTATGTAGATGGTTGTCAATTAACAGTAGAATTCTTCACATTTTGGCTAGAAATTCTTCATCCTATATCAATAACTGTTCTTCAAACAGTTTGGATATCATTCATCTTTTAGCAGAAATAGGAAGCTTTCTTACATAGTTTAAGAGTCTTGATTTTTTGATTTTCTAATCACAGAATCTGTGATATTTAGTCTTATTAATGTTAGCTCAAAGAGAGCAATACAAAAGAATTTTTTGCATATTTGCATTTTCTCTCAATGCACTTTTCATATTTAAATATTAATGTTTGGCTTGGTGTCTCATGTGAAACAGCTCAGTTTCATCTGCACTGAAAATGTCTTCTTACCATTTTAATGATAAGAGACATTATCTCAAACACTTTCTGATTATCTGCCCGTCTCTCACCAGAAACTTACAAATTTGTTGCCAGCTAATTTTTTGTTAAGCTAAGGCATCAAAGGGAAGAACCATTTTCAAAATAATGGTGCACTAAGAATTCCATACAAGAGCAATTACTCAATCAAATTAATAATTAAATAATTTAATTACTGAGTTAAAAACATCAGTAATTAATTATTTATCTTTTTCGAGAAATCACTGTAATTTTTTTGTGCTGTTGTTCTTTCCATATATAAAGTGATCTGTTTTAATTAAAAAAAATTGGATAATTGCACATACTTTGCATATTCCACTACCTCAGCATTGCACACTGGCTGAAACTTAATAAAGCAAATAGGTATTGTAAACAAGATACAACCATCTTCAAGCGAATTTTGAATCAACATTTTGCTTGCAGTTTTTCAGATTGCATTTCCATTAAATTTGGTTGTTGACTTCATGGAGTGCAAATTTTTGCATTCTCCATTGTTGGACAAAATGCCATATTTCTGCAAAAATAAAATACTTTTTCACCAGTCAACAAATTTTGCAGTCCCATTATAATAAGTTACAAGAAAAACAAATATACTCAATATAAAAGGAAACACTAGTAAGAAAAAGGACAAATTTCAGAATGAATTTCAGAATGCAAATCCACATATACTTGGGCAGACATGTGCTACAGGTATCATGTGCTGCCATATAACTATTTTGGTGCCATACTGCATTCTCTCATGAATGCTGTGACATTTCAGTGATCATGTGGATAATCAGAAATACCCTTTTTTCCTATGTTTTAGTATCAGATCTTGAAACTTTTTCTGGGTCTTTCACAATTTTATCTCAAAAAAAATTGTGTATTACTTTTTAATATACGTAACTAGCCATTAAAGCAAAAAAATGGCATTTTGTACAATTTGGCAAATTTATTAGCCTTTGAAGCTGTTGGTAGATTGCATTTCTGGGAATGAAGAACTATTTCAGCAGTGTTTCTTCAACATCCTTATACTGGAACTGTCTTAATGTTTTTCTCATTTCCATGTCCATGAATTCTCCTTAAAATAAAACCATGGGGGGAGGCCCCATGGTTTTATTTTAAGGAGAATTCTCTTATTTTTAGAGAACTATAATTATATCTTGTTACTTTTTATTTTCTGAAATCCACTTCTAATTTATTTTCTGAAATCCACTTCTAATTCAAGAGATTTTGTGCTGTTAAATTGTAATTTAAGTTTGTGATAGAATTTTTTCTTTAAAAAAATATTATAAGTAACTAAAAAATTTAATGTTTGTTTTAAATTTGTGCTTGACATTGTTTATAACGAAATCAGTTTCTAATATTAACCCTTTCATGATGGGCACCTCAGTCACTGAACCACTTTCTCAGGACGGCAGGCTAACAGGATACATTGGCTTGTGGAAACTGATAATTCATGCCGGTAAGCCTAACCTTAAAAAAAAAATTCCCATAAATTAAATTTGGGGTTCAACTGTTCTAATTATTGGCACACTGAATACTCAGTTGTCAGAATTTAAGAATTCTGAAAAAGCATAAATTCTAGAATAATGAAAATTTTTCTAGAAAATTTTTCTCAAATACCTGCAATTTTCCATAAATTTGTATGGAAAAAATCCCCAAACAGTCACAGATTTTATTTTACAGTTTCATTATCAAAACTAAAAGTTAATAATAAATCTCTTTATTAAAAAAAACAGCATGGAACAACGAAAAAGGAAGCAATATTTCAAAAAGTTGATTAAGCTTTTTCATTATTTCCATTAAAAAAAAAAATCCTTTACAATGGCATCATTTATGTAAATTTTCCTGGTTTTGAAGAAAAGGCACCAGCTCTAAGATAATTTTATGCTAAAAGCTATTCACTTTATTAATTTTTTAATTATCTGTTTCCTTTTGCAGTGCATTTTATAAGATTATCACTGGAAAAATAAATAAATAAATAATAGTAAAAAAAATAATTTCTTTGATAGTGCTTCCAGTATTAATATCTGGAGCTCCTACAAAATCAAAATGTTTCAGATCTTGAAGTGTTGTAGTGCAAAATGTGTCTATTGAGGCGCTGTCCTGAACTGTGTAAGACATGCATGCTACGATTTCCTTATCTGGTAATATGTTCATATTAGATTTGCTGTAACTATCACTTTCTAATCCTTTAGAAATATCATCAGTGCAATTAGTGTCAGAAGTAACTCATTCATCATGCATATCTACTCTTCTTCTGCTAAATACTGTTGCCATTTGAAGTATAAAAAATATTTCACTAAACAATACGCAAAATATTCATCTCTGCTAATTAACGAAACTCTAAAGGAAGTTATTAAAACTTCTAAAACCACAGAACCAATACCCCCATATAGCCAAAAACAAAACGTATTTGGAAGCATCCAGAACATGTGCATTTGTGCATATCAGCTGACACAGTTAATAGCCAGCTTTGTTTATTTACATTACTCATCCTCACAATTCCTGCTTTCATTCCAAAACAAAATACAAGATAATGAAAAATACTGCAGTGAAATAAAAATTAACATTCTCTAGTTATGATAGATTCCGCTAGTCATAGGCTGCGTTTAGTGGCAAAAAAAAATGCTAATTAAACATTCTATCTAAAAATTCATATGCAGTATACCCGTCCTCAGATTAACTTTAAACAGCAGTTCATATGTGACACACCTGGCTATAAGATAACATTTGCGGCTGATGCTTAACCTGCCTGTCCTGAAAGAGTAAAATTATTTCTTTTAGTTTTTTTTTTTTTTTTTAAATTATTGAAGTTATTGCCTTTTGTCTAATCAATGGAAAAGTTATAACCTTGCTTATATTACCAATAGGCTATGATGGTGATAGCAGTGATTCTGGAGGTGATTGTGGTTGGCTCAGTACCTTAGATACTCGTAGACCTGTACTTCCTAATTTTTGGCTAATCATGAATGTCTGTGAAAAGAAAGTTATTGTGTATTTTCATATGAGGTAGATATACGTGCTTTTAATTTTCAGTTATGAACTCTTGAATTGTTATCAAAATATAAATTATCATGTATGCTAATTAATAATTCCCTTATATTCTGATATCTGGAATTTTTATTTTTATCTGATTACATATTATTTCTTTTAATTTTTTTCCTGTGTTTTAACACTAATATTAATTAAATGAGGGAAATTCATATTTTTCCTTTATTAAATTTAACAGTTTATTATTAATGTGAATCTGTCTAGCAACTTTAGATCATCACAAGAAACTGTTTTCTATTTTTACTCACTTATTGCAAGATTTTATGTACCTGACAGATATAAACCTGGTCAAAAGTAATACATTAATTAAAAGCATATTTATAAATGGAATAGCTTAATTAAAAATCTCATTATAATAGATAACCAAGTTCTCAAATTAACTAAATATTAAATATGCACCATAGGTTATATTAATTAGTTATAGGTAATATGCACTTGTTGAGATAATTCTGGTTTATTAACTTTTGTTAGATGCAAACAAATTTAAATTATTAATGAAATTTAGCTTTTGTTTCATGTTTGTTTAAGTTGTATGCATTATCAGAGACCAGCCTACTCTCTGCATTTAAAGACAAGTACTTTGTAGTGATTATTAAAAAATAATAGACATAAGAATGCATCATAAGAAAATGATGAAATTAACTTAGTTATTAGTTTTTTCTCTAAATGCATATAATTACTTTAACTCATTCGGGCACAGCTCTTGAAATTATATTATTTTTAAAAGTCTGTAAATCAATAATAAATTAATTTAAAAAAATATTCCTCTTAGACCTTGTATTTCGAACAACTGGTCACTTACCTATGTAGGGGTACCCTAAGATAACAAAATGTTTCAGCTCTCATCTAAGTGTTCTCCACTAGCACTGACACCTTACCAACTTTTTGTCCACTGCTGGAGAAAATCCTGAAATTTTTTACAAAATGCTTTTCAAGAGAGACATTTTCTTACATGTTATGCACATCTGTGAATTGCATCACTTTGAGGGCTATATTTATCCATCGGAAGAGAAGCAATTGCACAAAGGAAGACCTAGTGGATAGGATGGACCAGCTGCTTTGTTCTTCATTAAGAATTGGTGGATAGATAGAGTCATTGATGGAGAAATCAATCTTCTTCAAATTTCATGCTGTTTCTGTTGCATCCAACATAGTAGTTTGTGGGGCTGACTGCTGTATTGATGGGCCCAGGTTTGAATTCCTGAGAAGGCATGGGTGTTTGTAAGCATAGTGTTTGTGCACCAAGGGACCATTCAAAATATGTGTGAGCCAAAAATCTTCTTGAGATGTTATTTGTAGAGAAAGAGGAGTGTGTCATTTCAAATCTTCCAATAAAATTCTGTAACAGGTACTCCATGACATATTTGTTTCCTTAGAATTTGTTCTTATAATGATCTTCATTAACAGCCTGTTTGTTATTTTTAGAATCTGTGTACAAAACTTTATTTTCTCTTAAGTTCCCCAAACCTTATTATTATTATTATATTATTATATTATTTTTTTTTTTTAAGAGATATGTAGATGATACTTTCACGCTATAGAAATACTCAGAACTTAAGTTTTTGAAATAAAAGGTAACAAATCTTTTACTTTGGAAAATTTCTCTAACTTGCAGTTGACAATCAATAGGAAAGTGAGCAATAGCATTCAATTTCTTGGATATTTTAATTTTAAGAAATGGCAATTCGCTTTAAACTGCAATCTATCACAAAACAACTGGCAACCCAGCAATAATCTCATTCAACTCTTTTCTTTTCCTCTGCACAAAAAACAGCTGCCTTTTTTATTTTTATTTGGAACATGCCAATGATTTCTGTTCCACACCAGAATTATATGAAATTTAATATAATTACATAGTAAAAACTGCCATTTCTCTAAAGTAAATTTGTTATGGATGCAAGCATCAAATAATCATAAATTTATCGAACTTTTCCCAACTACCCAGTCACTTTATGCATTTGCTTCATGTTTAAAATATTTGTTTATAAACCTGCGATTATGCCAGCCCCATTCATCTTGAAATTGTTAAAATCAGATAAATATGACTTTGTTGCAAGAGATACTTTTAGTGTATAAAATTATTCCAATTCGCAACAAAGGTGCAGGCACAAAATATATTGGTTCATCATCCAGAAAACTATCATTAAGAATTGCCGGGCATTAAAAAAAGGTTATTTCTAAGCTCTGTGCCAACCAATTCCTGAAGAGACTTTAGTCAAATATTTTGCTGAGCATTCACACTCGATAACTGAATGAGACAAGGTATAAACATGCCAAACCTTGGCATTAAAACCAACTCAAAATTAGAAAAATGCTTGAAATCACCACCAATGCATGCTGCAACAGAGACTTTCCCTTCAATCTTCTGTAAATCTGGAGGGCAATTCTGAATACAGCAACCCTGTAGGCAGTGCTGGCGCTAGGCTTTTCGCCGCCCATTACTATCACTTTGATTCCTGGAATCTGCAGCCCAGTAACTCCCTAAATTTTACGAATTCTGCCTCCCAATGCAGCTGCACCTACTGCACATATTCTGGCACTGGATTTGCCTGTAGGATTCAATGAATGATGAAACCATCCGTTCCAGCTCCAACTGATGAAGCAGAAGTGCCTATATTTTTTTTTATTTATGCTTATATGTGTTTGAAAAGCAGATTGTCCAGACATAGATCTACAACCCTCCTTGGGCTTTGGAAAGCGGTTCAAGACGAATGGGATAAAATTCCTCTTCCTGTACCAAAAAAAAAAAAAGCTTTATTGACTTGGAAATTATAGTGTAGGAAAATAGTGAAGAATAAGGGTTATCAAATGGAACATTTAAAGCGCAAAAGTTTTAGGTAAAATATTTCTGTAAATACAATGAAAATTGCAATTCAAAAGAATTGTTTACACAATTTATGAAACTTCTTTACTTCCTCATCATTTTTATGTGACATTTTATTTGTATTTTTTCTATAACACGCACTACATGCACTTTTTGTTTTATATATTTTCTTTCTCTTATTGTCTTAATCTGAAGTATCATTAATTGAAATTTCTCAAGTTTATGATTTTATTATGCTGGTAAATATGTTTTTAGTTTTGTCACTGTAGGGATTTTTTTTTTTTTTTTTTTTTTTTTTTTTCTGTTTATATATTATTCTGTAGGCAAAGAAATGAAGATGATGAGGAACTTGGTGAATGTCAAACTGTGTTGAATGAAGTCGTAACCATTATCAAAAATATTTGTAAAGAAGTGAATCAAGTAATGTTAACATACTTTTATATATAATGTAAATTTCAGAATGTGTTGCATTTTCTCTTTCAGTTTTAAACTGCATATGTTTGATTTTAAATTTATTGTGATTTTTTTTCTCTTATGAGGGAAAAATTATATTTGAGCTATTATTTTTTTATTTTTCTCACATAATTGTTCATGGTATTAATATAATTTTAATTTAAAAATATTAAAATTTTTATTGTTTTGCAATGAAATTATTTGTATTTTTCTTTTCTTAGTAAATTTTTGTTTTATTGGGGAAATTTATTATGTGGTGTTCCTTCAGGTTTACAAGTTTGCTAATATTTTTCTTTAAAAAGAAATTATTTAAGAACATTTCATACAAAACCTGATACCTTTTTCATTAAATTAAAAAAAGAAAAGTAGAAGTAGAAGAAATGAAAAAGGTAAATCTGATACCTTTTTCATTTCTTCTTCTTCTTCTTCTTCTTTTTTTTTTTTTTTTTTCCTTTCTTTACAAGTGTTACATATTATAAACAGATTAATTATTTTGATGATAGAAAAATATAGTACGGTCTTAAAAACTACAGTATTTTTTTATAGGCAGAGGGTAAAATATTTACATATATGAATAAAAGCTATTTAAAACTTTTTGCGTATTTGCATTTTCTCTTATATATATATCATATTATTTGCAGTAAGCTAAAATATGAACTGTTTAATATTTTTTAACTCATAAATTATAGTAATTCTGAGTTTCAGCATATTTAAATATTTTTCTAATGAAATTTTTTTATGTAATGTTTTAGATTCTTTTACTTCAGTCATTAAGTGAAACACGAATGTGTGATAGACTTCTTGTGCCAGAAGGCAATGATGATGTTTGGAAGAGCAAAGATTTTGATTTGATTGGAGATCCAAATCGCACAGTTTCAAGTGAAGGTATAAATCTACTCTAATTATTTTATTTTCACAACACTGAAATGTGTTGGAAGTTTAAAATTTTTAAAAACAAAAGTTTTTATGAGTTGCTGCTGCAGAATCTAGTTCACAGCTATCGTATAGTTTATGGTTATATTGATAGAACTTATTAAATAAAAATAAGTCCTGTTAAATGAACACATAATATCTTTCCAAAGATAATTATTTTTGGATATATCTTGATTTAATGTAAATATGTTGTAATAAGATAGTGGTTTTATAAGTTAATTTTCACTCGGGCATTTCCTTTTTTAAATTTAAATTTTTAGTCTTGTTTCTTTCACAAGCACCACAGTAGGCACAGTTCTTTTTTCTTTTTACATCTATATCAATAGTATTACACTAAAACTTTATCATGGCATTTTTTTAACTTAATATGGACATACTTTTCAAAATTAATACTAAAGAATAAATTTTTCTAATGAATACAACAAATTTTATATGCTAATTCAGAAATATGTTTATTGACTTTGTTGTAACTATCACTTTCTAATCCTAGAAATATCATCAGTGTAATTAGTGTCAGAACTCGTTCATCATGCGCATCTACTCTTCTTCTGCTAAATACTGTTGCTATTTGAAGTATAAAAAATATTTCACTAAACAATACACAAAATATTCATCTCAGTGCTAATTAACCAAACTCTAAAGGAAGTTATTAAAACTTCTAAAACCACAGAACCTATACCCCCATATAGCCAAATACAAAACGTATTTGGAAGCATCCAGAACATGTGCATTTGTGCATATCAGCTGACACAGTAAATAGCCAGCTTTATTTATTTACATTACTCATCCCCACAATTCCTGCTTTCATTCCAAAACAAAATACAAAATAATAAAAAATACTGCAGTGGAATAAAAATCAACATTGTCTAGTTATGATAGATTCCACTAGCTCCATTGGGCTTAAGTTCAAGTCATAGATTTGGTAAGAACATTTGTAACTGTATTATCTTTGCAGAATAATGCTCTTAAATTCTTTGAAAAGTAAACATAGGCATTCAGAAACAGGTCATAACTTTTGGATTTCTTCCACCAGACGCTGTTGGTCAAAATTTGAAGTGCGTTAGCCTTTATTTCACCCTAAGGAAATAATTTGTTCTAATTAAAATGTAAATGGATAGTATATGGGATATTAACTCTTTCTGGCACGCTACCTTTTAAAGTTGGAATTTCGATAAAAAAAATTTTTAAAAAAAAGATAGGCAGTCTAATTAGGCCTAGAGGAGTACACAAGTAAAATTTTGTGAAGATAGCACTTATCATTTTAATTCTGTGGGTGTGCCCGAAGCGGGCATACTGACTGAATAGATCTTCGAAAAGAGTGCTGAAACGAGCATTGCAGGGAAGCGCGTAAAAGAGTGAGAGTTTTGTCTACTGTTAAAAAATACTAGATTCTGAATACCGTTACAGATTTAGCATTACCTAGAGTGTGCCACAAGGAGACTTGCTACTCTACACCCCCCTAAAAAGCTCTTTTTTGGTTATTTGATTACATGCATATTAATGGGGAAGAAAGTAACTTGGGTATATGATATTTACATTATTTACATTTCCTATTTACACTTTAGTCTATTTTTTCATGGTATTACTTTTCGAAGAAAATGACACCACCTTTAAAAAAGCGCAACCCACTATTGTATGTTTTGCACATGTACAGTGATCCGTATCAGATTCACTATCTGAAGCAATTCGTGTATCACTTTCAGTGCTTCAGAAATGGTCAGCCTTCTCCAATCCATTTGGAAAATAATTAAAAATCCAAAAAATAAACTAATATTATATCCATAATTAGAAATTATAAACTATGAAATAAAATTAAATAAACATCTACAACTCAAAACTACTAAACGTAGTGCTATTGAAACTTTGAATGAAGCAAAAGAAGAAAAGAGAAGTGCTCTAGTGAAAAACTAAACAGCTAACTGATAAAATTAGCCTTGATCTTCAGAAAATCACCCCAACAATATATTAGTTAATAATCAAACGTCCCCTTCAAGAAAAAAAAAAAAAAAAAGAGAAAGAGAAGAAGAGAGAGAAAAACAGGAAATGAAACGCTGACGTGGACCCACCTTTCTGTTGTCAATGAACTAACTGATGAGATGCAGAGAAACAAAGAATACAGTCTCTCAGTTTTCCTAGAGTCTTGGTGTGCCCGGTCTAGGAACACCTCGGGTTTGCCGTTCAATTTATGCAAGATTTCAAGGTAAAAATTTAAAACCAATATAGAATAAAGAGATTAGCATGCAGCCAAAAGAAATAACATAGAAATTTCTTTTCGAGCAATTCCTTTTATACCCTAAAAAAAAATCTGGAAGATTTCTTTGAAAGATGAGGGTCTTAAAAAGCTAAACATGGCTAAAATATATGGACTGGTTTGTGTTGAGCTGCCATTTACTATAAATAAAGAAGGTTCAGAGTAACCTTTAGTAACATATAAATCCTTTTTCATTAAATTTTTCTATTCATACAGAAGGAAAGTTTTAGGTGTGCCCAGATTGGGCACACCATGCCGCAAAGGGTTAAGAGCATGGCTAAAAGTAGCATATTATATTATTAAATTTTTTAATTAAAGATAAGTCTTCTTTTCAGTTCCTTTGTTTCCTGTGTTTTCATAGTTGAATTAATAAAGCAAAAAATGTTGTCAATCAATCATTATAAATGGTTGCATTTGAAATGATTGATTGGCAAAATTGTACTTTTTTCTTCATTATTTCAGATCCAGATCTTGCTCTAGAAGTACAGGAAAAGTATCTTGAAGCAACACTAAAATTTGAACCAGGAGCCTTTGGTTGTCCTGTAGTTTGGGTTACCCACTTTAAATTACATCATAGACTTGCTGCTGCTTCTACTGGAAGTATCAAATCATTAGGTAAATTATAATATAATTCATAGCCAGATTTCACACGTATTGAGAGTATTCACAAGTATGTTTCCATAATCAGTAGTTTAATTCCGAGTATAGTTACATTAATTGAGTGCATTGAAATTCATTCATATGCATCTTCTAATGTTTTTAAATGGATAACTTTGATTAAGTGTAAAATGTTTTTATTCTTTAAAGAGAAATTGATTTATGAGGATATGTTTGTATCAGAATATATGGTAATGTTTTAGTTATTTTCTTTCTTATGTAGTACTTCTGAAATGCTATTTTTAAATTAGAGCATATAAAATGACTGTAAGAAGAAGTTCATTAAAACAAAAACCAGTTTTAATGCCACCATGTAAAATATAAGTAGCTAGCTCAAAGTGCTAGATTACATGCTAAAAATAATTAAAAAAAATACATGTAAATAATATTTTTGAATACGTTTTTTGAATAAAAGCTTACATAATGGTATATAAACTGCTGTAATGCCTGTATGAGTTCCAGTCAAAATTGAAACTTTCTGTGTCTGAATATTTGCTTAATAATATTTCAAATTATTTTTCTTTCAAACTTTTGAAATTATTTCTGTATATTAAGAACTCTAAATGTATATGCCAAATTAAATTAATCTAATGATAACTGATAACTCTTTCCTCTTTTGTGTTAAATTATAAATGTTGTTTTAAAGTTTTACTGCTTTAATGCTTATATAGGTTAATACTGATGCACAGTGAGCTTTTAATCAAATGCCTGTTTCTAGAATAAAATTACAGAATCATCCATTTCCACAGTATCAAGTTTATTTTTACAGAAGTGTGTGCATTGTTTAAGAAATTTTTGTGATTTTGAAGTGTATGTCTAGAATCAATATTTAAGAGCATAAATCTATAGCAACCTTTTCCAAATGCTGTGTAATCTGAACCACGGTTAGGTTATATCATAAAAGCATTTAAGTGAGACCTTGTATTAAATAAAATGATCTGTTTTGAAATAAAATTGCTCCAGTATTGAGGGCAATGTCAGATACATCTTTAAAAGCAAAATGAATAAATAAAGAAGGACATTTTTGCAAACATTTTTTGATTATGAAGTAAAACAGCTTGTCAGTAACCTTGTCAGTCAAATTTCTCTCAAAACTGATAGAATTTTATTTAAAATCTACATAAATCTAAGGTTGTGTGTTTCTTTAATTTTATTTTTAGTCTTGTTTTATCTTAGTTTTATTTAGATTCAATGACTTTAACTTGAACTTTTTAAAGATTAAAAATTACAAGAAGATCAATATTTGGAGCAAGATTTTAAGGTCTGTCTGAAATTGGTTAAAAATTGCATGCATTTCATACTTGTTCTGATGATTTATTTTTGTATGATTTTTTTTTTTTTTTTTATTGCTGATCAACAGCTCCTTGAAGCTTATTGATTAATTGATCAGCAAATAATGGGTAATTGATATAGATGATTAATAGTTTTATTATATTTGATCATGTATAAAGAATTTCATTTTATTACTTTATGCAGTATGTGTCTATATAATCAAAATATTTATGTCTAAATTTTACGGTTTACTACCCGTTACTGTTAGTTACATTTAGTTGCAAAGTGTATTACACTGGGGTCGACTATAGAGCATTATCTTTTACAATTCGAATGTCACTTTATTCAGAATTAAAATATATATATATAATGTTGTACAGGAAATGGTCAGTTCCAGGTGCAATAAGTGATGACAATTTGAGGATTAAACATACATAATTATCATAAAATTCCATTAAATAAATAAATAGAAACATTGTCCAGCTGTACAAAAATGTATAAGAATCAAATTATAAAACAAATAAATAAAAATATAGGCATAAATTTGCAAAATTATGTGTGAAAGAGAAATAGTATTAGGTATTATATTATATTAGATTTTAATATTGCATTAGAATCTTCAAATGCCCTTGGATTATAAAGCAACAGATTGTAAAAATGAATCTTTGAACTTAATGCATTTTGTGGCTTCTAATAATCAGTTATATTAACCAGTTTCTACTTTCTAGCCTATAAAGATCTTTATGGAATAAAATGTTTTGTTGCACAGGCATACAAGCTCTTCGATCTGTTTTGAATACATTTTCTGTGAATAATCGAGAAAATATGTTTGTTTATCAAGATGGATCGGGCCCAGTGTTTTATCTCAGGTAAAATATATGAATATTAATTTTTGTGGGTGATTATTTAACCCTTTGACTACAAATTTTTAAAAAAATTATCCCGTTTTCTATCCAAGTGAACAAAATATGTCATAAATAAAGCATTTGGGATTTTTTTTCATTTAGCATTTGGGATTTTTTTGACAGACTGTTTTCAAGCCAAAGGCTGGAACACATATGTCCCAGCCATAGTAAATGGTGGGATGTTCCACACATAGCGATTGACTTACTATAAGCACACTTATTATTCTGGAAAATTTTATTATATGAAAGAGATTTGCATCGTATGGTACAGGTAAAGTATTTTTTGCATAACTCAACATTACACATTGGGCAACTCATATTTGTTCTTTTCTGTATGTTCATTTGTGTACAACGAGCACAGTGCCATCTAGATTTTAGAACTATTGGAAGATGATCCCAAACATTCAGGAGATTCTTCTTTCTGTTCTTTTCCTGAATAAATTATGAGTCTCTCCTTCTCATTTTTAAACTTTTAGTGGGGCATATATGTCCTGTTAGTAGTCAAAAGGTTAAACTTGATTGTCTTGAAAATAAAACTGATGTTTCATTTAAAAAGAGCTTTTATGCACCGTATTGTATTTTCATTTTGCATTTTTATAAATAAACTTCAGATTGTTTGAAGAAATTTGTGGGGAAAACCACTCGGGAGGAATTTCAAGAGTTGAAGATAATTTATCTTTAATGGGTAAGCATATTATGTCTATTTAGTACTTTCAGTGCCATATTATTCCCCTATGTCCACTTATTGATAAAAGCCTTAGAAGACAAGTATAAAGTTTTAATCTAATTACAGTTCTCAACTGTGAATGGGCTCATGTCTGAATCAATTGATTCAATTTCCTTTAATGCATTGCATGTGGGAAGTGCACTTTTGCATTTTCTGCAGTCTGTCACTAAATTGTGGTTCACATAAAAGTACTTATTTTGTGCTAAAGAGCAGAGATTGAATAAATACGATGTACATTGTAAGTGTGAATGATGTTTCTGTGTATCAGTTGAATGCGATTTTTATCAAATTTTATGCCAATTTATTGTGAAAACCAAACTCCCTGGAAATTAATAAAAAAGCTCCTGTTACATGCTTAAGTTCACAGCAAAATATATCTGCAGGCAATGTATTAAAAGGCCTTCCTGAAGATATCCCTTTCTTCAAAGCAAATGATCCTCAAATATTTTTCTATATTTCATCAATCAACTAATGTAATGTAATGCTGCAGTAGTTTGTGTGCAGTTTAAAGCAGATTTTTGTAATAAATGTTACTCATTCAATTGAATGAATTGTTTAAGTTTTAAAACTTTAAAGTTGTAACCTCTAAAAATCAATTTACTAAACACAGTTTTCATCTTTGCGATTTTTTTTTTCTCACCTTTACAACATCTTGAATTTAGGATCTTACTGTTCATCTGTTCAGAGTCTACCTCAGAAGAGAACAAATATAGAGAGTGATTTTGAAATGGTGAGTATTTACTTTTATTGCAATTATTCTAAGCAATAGAAAAGGAAAATAACTTTTTGTTTCTTAAACTTGTTAAATGTTATTATATCTGTCATAGATAAATGCTTAAAAAAAGGAATGAAAGCAAGTTATTTTTAATTGATGATATTGAATTATAAAGTTATATTTGAAACTACCTTCTCAAATTAAGAAACCATCTGTATTTTTAATTTTAGAGCTTCATTTTAGTTATAGGTAATAATTTTGGAAATGCTAATGAAATTGATGATAGATGGGAACATTTAACTTATGTGGATATATTTTTAACCATTACATGCTACAATCCAGACCACTACTAAAAAATAAATTTTAATTTAAAGGCATGGGGAATACATAACATTTAGAAAAGGCAGGCGTGCTGTAAAAGTGATTTTTCTTCTGATTAAGATTCCTTCTGACTAAGATAATTCTCAAACACCTGCTGGGTGGGGAATTGCACCAAAACCAAAGACAATACATTGTTTGATGTTGACCACTATCACACTTTCCACCCTTAAATGGTTGTGGGAGGTTAGCATTTTTCCATATGCATTAAACGATAAGTGAAGCCTCGGGACATATTTGTTTGGACTGGGATGTTGCTCATTTTGATTTTACTTTTTTTGTTGTAGTAGAGAAGAGAGAATGATTGTGAGGAGGAGGAACTTCAGTTAACATAGCAAATTGCATTCTTCTCTAACTTTCTAATTTGATCTAGCTTATTATTTTTTGCAGGCTATCTATCATAGCTGTCTTATCAGAATAAAGGTTTAGAATTTCGATTATGTCAAAAAAATTGTTCTAATTCTGGAACAGCAGTTGAATCTGCAAAGCAGAAACATATTTCTGGTGTCAAACAAGCAAAAAGTGGAATTGCTGCTAAAAAATATGTAGAGGCATATTCATCACAAAATTATGTGAGAAATACAGTTTTGGAAATTAACACTTTTATGACATTTTTTAAAAAAAGCAAAAGTGAAAGGAAGAAAAAGAAACTTTTTAAATGTTTTATGGCTGAAAAGTGATAATTATGGGTGATAGTCATGATTAAATAGGTGAGAAGGCATGCCTTTGAAGAGTCCAGTGTTGTTGATTCAAGCCAAAACAATCATGAGGAAGTGGGCTTTATAAAACTGATTGCAGGTATTTGACAGGTTGGTTATCAAATTTAAAAATTCCCATGGTATAAAGCAATTAAAAATTTCAAGCAAAAATGCTTCATTTGGTACTAAAGTACTTGAATAACGTGCATATTAATTTATGAAACTAATTAATAATGGAAAGCTATTTCTAAAACAAATTTATAATGCTTTCAAAATTGATCTTTTCTGCTAATATGGAGCCTAAATGCCTTGGCAACTTCTGCAGTTAAGGCCTTGACTAGTGTCAAAGGTTCCAAAGCAAGGCTAACAATTTGACACGTGCAGATGCTGCAGAAATGCATATATGGAAACTTTTTCTAATCAGAAAAAATACACAACATTGCACATTTAAAGTACTAAAGATTTTTCCCATCATCTATGATTCAAAATAAAAGAGCATGGATGACACAAAAGATTAGTGAATGGATTGCATTGGAAATCATTTTATATCCAAGGCTCGGCAATATTTTAAATCGGTTGGTTTACTGCTTGATGCAGAAATTAAAAACAACTATTCACTCATGCTACTCATAAGTTTTAATAGTAGATGATATCTCCATCTTATTCTTTACTCCAAATTATATGCCCATCATTCATCCAATGGAGATATTCAACTAGAATGCAGCATATATCCTGACGAGGAAAGGCGAGGGGAATAAGAGAATTCAGGAAACGCTTACAAAATAAAATAGTTGTTAATACAAACAACTAAAACTGTATAAACCCTTTCATTAAAACAAAACTTGAACATAAATTGCACATCTCATGCTTACAAATCATCCATTACTTGTGGTAGTATTGAACTTTTAAGTTACGTGTAACAGGGAAGAGCACGTCTGGATACCCAGGCGGCTTGCATAGACTAATCGGGTATCGTCCAGATCCCGCAACTATCTAAAGCAACAGCCCAAAATCAAGACATTAGATGGCCATACAAGGGCAAAGTGTTAGCTTATTCTGCATGTGTTGCATGAAATAGACTATACAACATACAAGTAACAGAAATAAGTACATAAGGTTAAAGTAACAGTTGAATTCAAACTTAAAACTAAGCCTAGTAGTCAAAAACTGCACAATTGATTTTAAATTTTAAGTTGGCTCAGAATTTCGCACCGGCATAACAATTAAATTGTCGGCAGCAATAATGCAAAACCAAAGAATTACAATCTTATCACAGTTGTTGAAACCTAGTAATGTGGCCTCAGTAGGCAGAAACACGCTCTATCTTGCTGTCAGAAAACCTCAGCCTAAATAATCTCTAATTAATTTACATTCTAACAAGGAAATGGAAAGAAAAAAATTATATTAAAGGCCGAAATTAAAAATAGCTGCTTAATTAAAATAATAACAAATCTACTAAAATTATTATGTTCTCTGTTATTGGCGTTAATATAATAAGCACAAGTCAACTTGCATAAAGCTCATAAAATTGTCTGATTTATGTCCAGCAAGATACCTTTTGCTTTTTAGCTGTAGTAAGATCTCCAGCAAGCATTCAAGATATCATTCTTCATTTGCATTGAGTATTTAAGACCGAATATTTTATTGTTCCATAAACATTTTAGTCCCTAAAATCATTATAGATGATCTTTATCTTTTATGGTAAATCATCTTTATATCATTATTATCCTTATCATCTCAGATGATCTTTATCAGAAGTATTAAATATGTACTCAATATTCTCATCTTTAAATTTCTTAGCAATCACCATTATTTAGTTGGTTTAGTTTATTTGATTATTGTGAATCACTCAAGGGCTATCTGCCTAAGGGAAGGAATGTCTTTGTGGAGGACTTTCTAGGGAAAACTTTCTCATATGCACATTACGCCTGGGGAAAACCATAAAAATGCTCATGCAGCCAGCCTGTTTACCGGAATCTGAACCCCGAACTGAAGTAATAGTGTTCTACTTGGCCATGAATAATGGGGTCTTCACCATTAAAAAATTTGGAACACATCATTTATATTTAAACCCGAAGTTAACCTTCACAAACTTTTAGGTCTCTGCATTGTATTTCAATCCACATCATTGTTCAGGTATTATGAAATTGACATTTTCTAAAAACAAGGAATTTTATGTGTAATTTAGCCATTACTATAATCTTTAAAATCATTATACTTTTTATCCTGATTCACAGCCACTAGAATGTCATCTTGATAACATCAGCATACTATTGACAACATATTATCTATCAGGATGTCTTTTATATATCGGATAACATTCGTTCCCATCAATCATTTAATTGCTATCAAATTGACATTTTTTATTCATAAAATTCTTTACCTGCAATTGAAACATAGCTACAGTTTTTAAATCTAGCATACTTGTTATCCACATCTTATCACTGGCTGTTCCTTTCCATACTTCAAAGCCACCAGAATGTTATCCTGATAATGTGAACATGCTGTTAATTTTTGTATGCATCACCATCCATTCTACTTACTTTTCAGTTCTGAGCTGTTGGTACTTCATATTATGACTATGTTGAAGAACCAGCTTGTAGCTTTTGCATAATAATACATTACCTCCTTTCATTATGTAGAACACTTAAGAACTAATGTATTGCAACTTTAAATATGTTTAATTCCTAAAATCATCAGATCGTATGTGTTAGTTTTAAAATACATGCTTATTTATTTATTTGCTGAAATGCATTCTTTGATAAAACTGTTATATTTCAAATTTTGTTTCCATAATGAATAAAAATGTTATAGGTATTATTATCTAATCTATCTTGAAAATTAATGGTAATTCAGACTTTAATGGTAATTTTTATGACATAGATATATGTAAAATAGTGTGATTTAAATATTGCACAAATTATTGTAGGAATTTCGTCCTCGAGTAAATTCTGGTGCATCTGATAGCTATCGTCAGGATGCATTATCAGCTGCTTCATCTAAAAAACCTCAGAAGTGTGTTGCTCTTTATGTGCATGGTATTGGTGAAGTTGGTAAGATTCTGTACTGTATTCTTATAGTAATTCAGTAGTTTCATTAGTCAGTCATTTGGTTAAATGAGTACAAATGTAATTAATAATTATCAAGAATTATATTTTTGAGGCATTTTAAAAATTCCAAATTATAGTAGTTCTGTGAATATTATTGAATTGTTAAGAATATATGTTAGAATCTTTCTATTTAGATGTATTGCATAATAATGTATGTAACTAAGAAGCTATTTTTTCCTCAAAATTATGTGCATAAAAAAATTTCTTTATTTCACAGATTACTTCTTTAATGAATATTTTCTCAAAGTTCTGTGCTTGGTTCTTGTAACTGTAAAATGTTTTCATGTGATACAAATGTAGCTGTTATTCTTATCATGAAAGTGCAGCATGTACTGTTTAAGTGTGAAAACATATTTTATGCAACTAATGTATTTTGCATCATGAATATGTATAATTTATAAATAATACACTTATATATTTTCCTAGTTCAAAATTAATCACACTTCCCATTAGCAAACACGCAAGAGACCAACATTTTTGTCTGTTATCAAGTGAGTGTTCCTTAAACAAGAGTGCTTTGCTCTCGTAATTTGAGGGTCTAGGGATTCAGGAACTGTCTATGATTGAGAAGTATCGACTTAAGTGTAGGTTCTCTTAACAAAGAAGATGACTGCAAAATAGCAGCTTGTAAGTTATTGATGTAAAAAAAAAAGCTAAGTGGTATTTTAGCTGTTAATAAATGTTATGTGGCTCATGATCTGCCAGTTAGTGACTGGTTAAAAAAAAGTATATTGGAAATAATTCATTTTTATTAACTATATGTTGGTGATAAGATAAAAAGTAAAGGGATAGTATGATTCTAAAAATTGCATTGTGATAATAATTAGAATGTTATCTCTTTTTCTTTCATTCTTTTGATTTTTTTCCCAATTTTTGATGCTTCTAAGCTGAAAGAATCCATTTATAGTCACTTTAATTTATGTCCTCCCTTGTTTGGATTACATTTTGGTCTCGAATACGAGCCAAGTGTGCTAACCATTACACCACGAAGGCATGCCAGAAGGAAAAAAATAACCTATAACTTCAAAAGCTCTATTTTTATCATTAAAAGTACAGTTTCCTTGATCAATGATGAGGGTAACAGTTAGTCAGGAGAAATACAGTCAAAAGTTGTTAATCCGGACCCTCATAATCCGGACCTCAAAGCTACAAACTTTCTGCGCATGCGTCAATGCATAATGCATTCACGCATGCGCGTAATACCTTTTACGCATGCGCATAATATGTATAACAGACGGTATAAGCTAAGCTAAAATTATCTAATTATCTATTTCAGTTTATGTTGCGGATTGCATAGTTTCTTAATCTTCGAATTGGATCTGGCTTATTATTTTTTGCAAACTGTTAGAGCAATTTTATAAAAGTAAGCTTGAACTTTCGATTATGTCAAATAGAATTTCCGATGCTGGAGCTGCCAAAGGATCTACAAAGCGAAAGCATGTTTCGATGTCCATTAAACAAAATATGGAATTGCTGCAAAAAGTGGATAAAGGCATATCCTTCGTTTCTCTAGCCATTCCGAAATCCATTTATCAATTTCACGCTGCTCTGTGGGGAAGGGAATGTCACGGCACACAATGAACTGGAAGTTGATCTGTCAGCACTATCCTTATCTTCAGGGCAGATGTTTTTATTTTCTTCGCCTTATAATTCATTACTAAATGTAGTATTTCATCTCGATATACTCTGTCTTTGATATAATTTAAATCAAATTCATTATAAATATCACGAATACACATCAAATAGTTTTCTGGTTGCAATTTTCTAATTTTGACTATGTGTAATGTATGCTTTATGCATGCGCGCGTTGAAAGAAATGTTTAATAAAATAAACAAATAAATATATTAAGCTTTGTTTTTTTGTAAATTTTGATACCCTTTAGATCATAATTGTTCTTTATTTAATAAATTACAGTTTCATATTTTTAATTTTATAATTTCTGCATGCCATCTTACGAGATTTAAACTGATGATCTATAATCCGGAAAAATCGATAATCCGGAACCGCCGAAGTCCCGTTGAGTCCGGATCAGAGACTTTTGACTGTATATGCAGTGGACTTCCAGCATCTGTTCTGATTAACCGATCGAGATGAGATTGCAAATATTGTTATTCAGAGGAATGTGCTTGAGATTATGTGAATGGCAACACAGGGGTGCTCATGGTTATGGTTATAGTTACAGAAACTTTAAATTGCTAAATAGCAGCCAACTTTTTCAGGTTGCAAAATGTTCAGCTCCTGCGAAAACCCTAAATAGCGTTGGAACAGTACTGATATGTCTAAAAATGGACGTGTTATGCATACACAAAAGAGAGTTCTGAAAACCAGGCAACGAAACAAGATCTGGGCATACGCAGAAAATTTGCATATGACAGAGGCAAGATACATATCACAGAATGCTTATCGCCAGATATATTCAGCGCAGGAAGCCGATAAAATGCCAGGCGGGTAGGCGAAGTTGTCGTTCGGAAACTCAAACACGATGATGAAATTACTCTTCTCGGGAAAGTTCGTGGTGAATTGATAAAACTGTATTATCAAACTGGGGTGAGTGCTGCAAAAGCTTTGCTTGTGTATCGCGGAAATCATCTCTAACAACAAGGCCCATGTACTCTGCAAGCTCTGCGTGATTTAATGCACAGATTTGAAGATACAGGCTGCACCTGTGATAAACCACACTCCAGACGGCCAACAGTTTCTGAGAGCATTACAGAAGTGCATCACATAGGGAAAACTGCAAGAGGCATGTCACATGTGTTGTGTATTCTGAAGACAACACTCCTTAAGCCACTGCACTCGGTTCTCCATATGTTTCCCTACCAGTACAAGCGTGTTCAGATTTTGTAGCCGAGGCACCCACAACTATGTCTGGGCTTCGCAAATGAATTTCTAATATGGTATGATGCTGATAACAACTGTCCCACTTAGCATACTATGGGCGAACGAGGTGCATTTCAACTTAAATGACAACATTAAAAATTGTGTGCACAGGGCAGAGAAGAATCTTCACACTGTGGCACCAGTACCATTATTTGATGCCAAAGTGACTGTGTGGTACAGCATTACAGCCACACTTGCTCTCAGCCCATTCTTCTTTGAGAAAGCAATACTGACGAGCCGTGTAACATGCTCTATAACAGGCTCAATAGGCTCTTAGTATACAACATTGCTGCAAAATTATGTACTACCAGAACTGTGTAGGTGGAAGCACTCAATAACATTGTTTGGATGCAAGATAGTGCACCTCCACATATAGTGAGGTCTGTTAAAAAGGTCTTGGAACAGCATTTTGGTGAATGCATTATCTCACGCCATTATCTTTTTCCATGGATATCTCACGCCATTATCCTTTTCCATAGATCGAGGATTCCATCCGCAATCCCCAATCTGACGCCTATGGATTCTGGTTTTGGGGATATCTCAAATACAGAGTTTACCTGTGCAATCTGCAAACTTTGTCAGATTTAAAAGATTCTATATAGTGTGAGATTGCAAACATCCCTCATGCAATGTTGCGTTCAGTAGTATTGTCCACCGTCTCCTGCATGCAATGCATACTTGCCTGTGATGGCACCCATGAGGAAAATGTATGCTCTAAATAAAGGTATTCCTTTGTCTGATATGTGTTGTCACCAGTGGTCAGTGTCTTGTCTCTGTCATATGCAAATTTTCTGCATGCGCCCAGATTGTGTATCATTGGCCGGTTTTCAGAACTCTTTTTTTTTTTTTTTTTTTTTTGTGTGTGTATGCATAACACGTCCGTTTTTGGACGTATCGGCACCGTTCCACTGATATTTAGGGTTTTTGCATGCGCTGAATTTTTTTTGCGACCGGAAAAAGTTGGCATTGCCATCCGACATTTTCGAGTTTCTGTAATTATAACCATAACCGTGAGCGTCCCTGTGTTGCCATTCACAGAATCTCGATCTCATACCTTCAAATAACTATATTTTCAATCTCATATCAATCAGTTAACCGGAACAGATGCTAGAAATGCAGATGTTGCGAATGTTTCTTTATGACCACCCTCTACTTACACCTTGTAATAAAAGAAAAATTATTGACTTCTTATCAATCTCAATTTTCTAATTTAACTATAGCTATCTCCTTATGTATTTTTCTTTCTTTCTTAGTGCTGCAATTTTTTCAGTTTGTGATCTCTTCCAGCTTCTGATTTCCTTTTTTTTTTTCTTTTTTTTTTTTCCCCTGTTTAAATTGTTCTTTATGTAAAAATTATATTGCGTTTCATTCGTTCTGCCATAAGAGGTTTCTAGGTAGTTTAAATAGAAATTTAGTTCGTTTTTATTTTCAACCAGCAATCTTTTCTTTTCTTTTTGGTGAATAAAGAAGTTAATTAAAGCATGCAAGATTATTATATAACTCAGCACTCTTTAATTCTTTTATGATTTTAAAACTTATACTGTCTGTCATATTATCTGCATTCGAAACAAAATACAATATATTATTTTTTAGAAAATTTTGATATTAATAGAATAGCAATTCTTTGTGATTATTTGTTATGCAATTTTTTTTGAAGCAATTAAACAAATTTATACGTACATTGTTATAACATAAGTATTATTCCTTTTTAGGTACCACTATAACAAATGACCTTGTGCAAGTCCTTCAAAATCGTTTAAATGAAGGTGTATTGGACCTCATAATCATGATGCTGTCTCGAAATCCACAGTGTATGCTTACTCCTGAAGATGTTCAGGTAAGGTTTAATTTATGTTGATGAGCTAATCAAAAGAAATAAGTATTTTGTTAAAATTGTAGAGATTTTCAAAAGCATTTTTTGCATTACATTATAATAATGTATAGATTGCTGAAATAAAGTAAAACAGGCTAAATATAAATGTAAGATGCAAATATAATCAAAATAAAAAATAAATAAAAACTAAAAACAGAATAGTATATAGATATTATTTTCAGGCATATTACCTTTTATTTGCTCTAAAAGAAAAATCACATGAATATAATGTGTGCATAATACAATATGTACACATGTGTGAATGTTTGCATATTGTTATTTAATCAAGAGTACAAAATTAAAAGCAGGAAACATACCTGGTCTAAAACACATTTTAAAAACTATTTACAATAAATTATGGAAAAACTTCATTATCACTCTGATTCTCGCTTTGAAACACCACTTCCAAGGCATAACTGATTTTGCTGAGAACAGCTTTCTCCAGAAGGGAAACCTCTGTATTGTCCAATGTGCTTACCTCTTTTACGCTCGCAGCATAGTGCGGATATGCACATGCTGAACTTGTGACATCAGAGCATTACTGAATGTCTGCTGCATGATCCTGCTAGAATCATAGGGAAAGCCTAAGCTTAATGACCTACATGTCATATAGAATGCATTAAAATTTGACATCTTTACAACACCTCTCCAGCAAAATAAGTTTTTAGTGAAGAGGGTCCTTTGGAACAGTTCAGCTAAATCAAACAGACAGATTGGAACAAGCAACGAACTTGTTACATTCATGCCTATACAAGAATGCAGTGCCTTAGAGTTTTCCTGCTTAGCAACCATGAGGTAAGAATTTAAACACAAGCATTTCTAAATCTAGCTGTAACAATTTTAACTGACAGTGACGTAGAAATTAAGATTTGCAAAATTTGCTTTAACTCATTCAAATAATGTTTACTACACATATCTAGATTCAGCTTGTGGTATAAAGTACTTTTGAAGTTTAAGTCAAAAACATTTTACAATAGGTACTGAATCACAATATTACAACTACCTTTAAAAATTTAACACCATACTAATTATTTATCACATTAAATCTTCCACACAGTTATTAAAATTTTGTTAAAACAATTAAATATATAGACTTCTTAGTAATGATTCTATTCATCATTTTATCTATTCATCATTAAGTGCATCTATATTTTTATTTTTGATTCCTGGTCTAGATTCAATCTTGTTAAGCATTTGGATATGTAGAAACTACCAAACATCTGAATGAGAGATTGGCCACTCAAGAGGTTGATGATCTATCTATATGAATTACAAAAGGCCAGCCAGCAAGGTGAAACCTCAATTATTTAGAGTCTATATTATGGCCACAAACTCTCATTCAATCATGCTGTATTTTCCCTCCACAAGACTAAGATAAAGCATTTAGTGCTCTTTTCCATTTGTTTGTTGTGATAGGACAAACTCTAAAGATACATCCAATGTGTCATGTTGCACTACAAATTCTTTTTCAAAATCAGGTGCATCCAGCATTAGTTGACTCATTAATTTCTCTTTTGTACTTTTGTAATTTCTCTTTGTGTACTGTTTTAACCTCAGTTTTAACTCAGTTTCTTTAAAAGAAATTTAGAAGTAAATTACCTCTCTACCCTTTCTTAATTAAGATATAAAATTTACATCAAGCAGCATTGTCAAAGCACTGGCACTATCATACCTAAAAATCTTTGCGCATTTGTCAGATGGTTAGAAAGACCCATAAATCCATATCATTGCCCCTACTTATCTAAGTCTATAATAACATAGACAGTTATCAACACAGGATAGCAAAGTTATAGAACATTTATATCTGGACAATATTTACAATACATCATCAGAAAATATCATTATCACTCTATTTGACTTCACTTTCATACATCCTAAGTGGAACTGGTTTCAGTAAGAACAGCTTTCTCCAGAAATGAAAAACTCTCTATTGTTCAGTGCATTCACCTCAGCTCAATAGAATGTGAATGTGCCGTGCTCGTGACATTACACTAAAGGCATGGATTTGCTTCTGAGTTCCCAGGGTGAACCGGCTTAGCAGAGGAGAGCATACTTAAACATCTTCCACATAATCCTGCTGACACCACATGGAAAGTCAGCCCACATATGTGTAGACCTTATTAAAATTTACTGTCATTACAGTGTATTAAAAGTGCATAAAAACTGGAAATGTTAGAAAGAAGAAACCATATAAATAGAAGAAAAAAAAAGGAGTATAACTTATAAAAGAAATTTAAGTATATTTTAGGAACTACATGTAGCAGAATCCCCAGGATATATTACGTAGCTCTCATGAAAATGTTTCTAACAATACTGAAAAATTTTAAATGCTGAAAACAAAGTGGACCTGGAATTTGCAATGTGAAAGTCACATTCCTTTTTCTTTTTCCATCAAAGCTGATATTTAAATTTTATTCTTTGTTCAATGTTTGTTTTGAAACTGATTCAGAGCTCAGGTGCTGTAGTTCAGAAATAGCAAGTATGTGTTAGCAAATTTCTAATAAATTAAATTTTTTTATGTTTTTAAATTTTCAATGTTTGTAATTTACTTGTATATCATTTTATTTTTGATTTTTAGTGTGTTTTAAAATTATGCTTTTACCTCAAGATATTAATATGATTTTATTTTCTAGTTCATTCAAAATCCAAACAGTCCTCCAACTCAAGAAATACATTTTACTTTACCAGTTAAACTGCTGGGATATGCCCACTCTGTCCATATTTATTTACGTCAGAATATGTTGCATTTTGTGTACAATCCAAAATACACCGATAGCAGAAAAGAGAGTCACTTTAAAGTAAGAACTCATATTTAGGTTTATTACATTACTTGCTTAATTTCATTGTTGTAATGATTTTATTATTTTGTCTCATGAGTAATGAAATGTATGTGATATTAGTAATTTCTTTTTTTTTTTTAGGCTTATTCTTATAACCCTGTTGAGTGGACTCAAGTTGATGATAATGATATTTTTTTATACCACTCTCATCAAGCATCTGGCTATTCTGGAGGAAAAGGTACAAATTTTTCTGTGCTCTAACTTCTTGCAAAGTATTTCTGTAAGTTCTCCAATGATGTAAGAAGTACATAGATTGTATATATAAAAATATTTCTTGATATTGATGAGTTTCTGACAGTTGATTAATATCAGTGTATTCTTTCAGTTTGTATATTAAGAACATTGCACCATATGTCACAAATGCTATTTAGATAACATTTTTAACCTGCCTGCAAGAGTTATCAGAAGCACTCATTTTCATGAGAAAATGCTGCTATTGACTAAGAAAAATTTGTTGGTTTTTCTTTTGTATGTGTTAAAAGACAGTTAAATTTAAAGGAATGTCATACAACATTAATGACTTTGTTCGAATTATTGACTTTGGAAAGCTGTTTCTCTGGTGGGTTTTCATTTATCTCAGTGATGAGTAAAGAGAGAGACACGTGAACTGCAAATTTGTATTTAAAAAGTGTAATACCAGCAAAAGTCAGTGTTTCGGAGATCATTATAGTTGAGAAAATGTAAATATGTATGATGTGTATGTATGAGTCATTGAAATAGCTGTTAATTTATAAGGAGCTTCATTAATTCAACATACACACAAAACCAAGAAAAGGAAAAGCATCAACAAAATAATGGCTGCATGTTTTGATTCTAAAAAGGAGAAGTTTTTATTTGTGAAGCCAAAGCCATAAAGTATACTTACTATGGGTTATATGAAAATTATTACCTACATTATTTTAAAGAAATTCTTTATTAAAAGCAAATGGATAGTTAACGAACTGCTTATAAACCATTCAGAGCATCAAAAGAAATATCTTGAAAAAAATTAGAGTTACTTAAAACAATAGAATAATTATTGATCAATTTAGAAACTGTCAAGAACATCAGAATGTATAACTAAAATTTATAACTACTCTAAAAATATGACTACTCTCAAAATGTGTATATAAATTTAGCAATAATCTGTGATAAATTAATTTAGTAAATGTGTTCATGTGGTGTTGGCAAAACCAGTTCCTTACAGAAGAAACTTTTTAACATAGAACATATAGGTAATAAATCTTTCAGTTTTCTGGACTGTAGAATTTAACAGGTTATGTACGGAATGCATATTAAAATATATGTGTTGATTTGTTTTATCAGCTAATTAACTTATGTAATTAGCATGATGACCCTCTATAATTTGGAAAACAAGATGCTAATTACATAAGTTAATTAGCTGATAAAACAAATCAACACATATATTTTAATATGCATTCCGTACATAACCTGTTAAATTCTACAGTACAGAAAAGTGAAAGATTTATTCAAAAAACTGTATGAAATCTGAAACTTTATTCTTTTGGTCACATGAATAGAGGCTTTTCGTATCATAACATCTATAAATAGCCCAGCAATTAGACAGCAAGAGATTGAGTAATAGATTGAAGTTTAGACACTTAATAAGCTTGATTTCATAACTATAAAATTATGCATACAAATTTGCGAATTTAATCGTCAGTCTTATAAAAGGCTTGAACTTAGATATTGTAATGTGTTACTTATTGTATTGCATAATATGTATGATATCTAATACCTGATGCATTTTTTCGTTATGTAGAATTAGTGTGTATGCAAAGCTTTGTGTGTGCTCTGATTTAAACCGTGAAATGCGGAAAGCAATTCTGTGTTTTAAATTCAAGCTGTAGTTTGACATTTTATTCTGTTCCAATAAAAATTAATTAACTATCTGAATGACTAAATATCACTGCTCCTATTTGAACAGAGTTGTATCTGATGATAGCACTTTTATTCTGATAAATACATAATATTCCAATACTTTTAGCCAATAGTTATTTCTGGGTGGTACCAAAATATTCTGATTATGTGCACCCCCTACCAAAAAGTCACGAAGCAAAGCAATATGTTGCCAAAATAGTTATATGGCAGTCCATGGTATAATTAAAAAATACTTATGTGGCAACTTAAGTATGTGCAGAGCATAAGCTTGCTTTAGATGGTGCGTAATGACAAAGTTGTATGATGCTATTTGCATAATTTTATGATTTTTTTTTTTTTTTTTTTTTTTTTTGTTTTGTTTTGTTTGTTTAGTGAAAACAGATGGCTATGTAGAGAGCAACAAAGCAGAAAAGGAATCCAGCTATGTGCTTAGCGTTTGTCTGCTTTATCTATTCTGTAATGCTGAGGCTGTATGATACCAGCTTTATATGTAGGTCTCTTAAAATTTTTGAAGTAAAAGCAGATCACTGTGTACATGGGAAGAACAATGGCACACACACACAAAAAAAAGAAAGATTTCTCTAAAATGTTAAAATATTTTACTATCAATGTTTCTTGCTTTCTTAATTTTATTAACCCTTAGCCTGTTGAGCGATTTTCTGCAAATCCCTTTAAAACTGTCGCTAGTTTTGGACCAAACTTCCCGTAAAATGTCGCGAAAATAACCCTAAACCTCTGAAAATTGTCAGGCGGTTCTTTTGTTATTTTCCATCACTCCCAGAATTTTACTTCAATGATTCCGCTAAGTGAGATTGATTACTAAATATTGTCCCGTAGATGTCAGCTGTTAAGAGAATTGCAAAAGACTAGAATATCTGTGATGACCGTCTCAATGCCGCAGGGTACAGCTGCAAAACTTAAAAGTTTACTTCCCTAAAACAATCTTATTTTCAAATAAATTGGTTTTAAAATTTACCCGGTTAAATTTTTAATTATTACATATTTTTAACCTAAGTAACCTAAATCTGTATGTCACTATTATCATCTGAATTTCAATGCAGACTGATTAAACTGCTACCACTAAATTCTATTTTGACAAATATCTCTTTCATTCCTTCTGAGATATTGCTGAAACATTTCGTATTATTTCCGATTTTCTGTCTGTATTTTTGTCGTTAATTAAAAATCTTTAAAACTCCGATTTTCTGTCTGTATTTTTGTCGTTAATTAAAAATCTTTAAAACTTTCAACATTTTCCTATATTCTTCAACTGTGTGCAAATAATAATTATTTTAAATAATTTCTTTTTGCCTTTAATTATTATGTAGTTTTAAGAGTAATAAACGAAACATTTGGGTGTTATTTAAGGGCTGAGATGGTGATAATATCAATATTAAATTTGCATTTTACTTTTTTATATACATTCAAGATATTCAGAAAGGGAATTATAACCTGAAACTGTTTTCAGTGTATCATAAATTTATTGACTCAATTTAAAAATTCTTGCTTTCCTGTCCAAGAAACACTAGTAAACTTTATCTGAAATAGGAAAGATGAGACATATTAATAACAAACAAAGCAATTAATTTGGAAGTCAAACAACAATAATCAGTGTTATATTTTCAAATTTCTACAGGACTAGTTTCGATGGTTTTACCGAACCATCATCCTCAGCTGCAAAAACGCAAATGAACGAGATAAGATATAATGAAAATTAGATTGTGAAAATTTGAAAATATAATGCTGATTTTTGTTGTTTGACTTCCAAATTAATATTTGTTCAGCATGATATTGTATCTTAATTAAACAAAGCAATGTTATTACTCATTATCTTATAATATAATTTATTCAGTATGGTATTTTTGTAAACAAAGAGTGTTGCTCTCCCTTTTTTAAAGTATAAATAAGCATTGCATTTAATAATTATAACAGTTATTAGTTATTTAATAATTAATCATAAGAATATGAATAATTAAGTATTTTTTTGGAGATATATTTTCCAGTGATATATTTTTTCTAGGGATCCCAGCATACATTTTTGAAGCATTATGCTCTAAATAAATGTCTTGTTTGAACATAGCATTAATTATTGGCACCAAATTTCCAACCAAAGGAAAATACCTTACTAGGGAGGATATTTAAACAAACATTTTTATTAGAATAAATATTTTCGTTATTTTAATATTACTAATAATATACAAACAGTAATTTAAATTCACTATAGTTGAGTGAATAAGATTGCTGGATGTTGGTAGTTTGTTGTTGGCAGCCGAACAGTTTAGCTGCTTGGTGTCTTATGATTTTCCCCATGCGTAACGTGAATTCAAGCCAACTTTATTTAGAAAATTACCCACGAAGGTGTTCTTTTAAAACAGATAACCCGTGACTTCTTAAAAACTGTAAAATATAATCTGTGCATATTTTCCGTTATACGATAACACGAACAAAATGATTTCCTATACAAAAACCTATGATCAGCGCTGTTATTGGCCGCCGTTTAATTAAATGCATCCATCTTATTCCTTTACAATTAATTTTCTCCTTCTTCAAAGAAAGTTTGTTTTCAGTAAAATGTACTATTTACAATGTGCCATTTTATTTTGCTCGTTTTTTATGCAAATATCCAAATTCAGATAGATATTGTGTAAGTTCAGAAAGCCAACTAGTCTCCAAGCGGTAAGATAGCTGAGCACCGGTAAATTTTCCTTTTCCTTAGACAAATAGGTCGTGTGTGCTTTATCATAATCCAAAACGTTAAGCGTAGAAACCTTTTATCATAGCTGATGATGACAATACTATATTTTCTATCAGATGTGTTAAGTTAGCATAATTGTATATTTCTAACGAAAACTGTTTGGCTCATGTTACCCTATAATGAAAAAAAGAATCAAATTGGTTTTTAGCTTAAACAGTATTTTCATTATTAATTATATCACGAATTTTATCAACAGTATTCTTAGTATTAATTGCAGGCATGTATTCTTAAATATAATAGACACAAAGCTGTGTCTAATGTTAAGGCTAATTTTTATATAAAATTTAATAGCATAAAAATTTAGGTTCATAGGTCAGCTATATTTGAAAAAGTGCTTGTGTATTATAAGAAAAGAGAGAGAGAGGAATTTAAGAATAAAAAAATTTACCACGAAGTATATAAAAATGTAATACAACACAAAAGAGTACAGTACTGTTTCAAGTTGTTTTGTGAATATACGGAAGACAGAAACATGTTTTCAGATGTATTCGTTCATCAGAGAAAAGCTTTTCATATGAAGCTAATTTTTTCAAATCTTTCACTATACTAGTAATACAAAAGCAGTATAAGAATTTCTTTTCTTAATATCCAACCGAAGAGCTGAGGGAACGTACAATGATTAACATACAATGGGTGCCTAGAATTATTTTGCTTTACATGCAGTTTCCTTATATATGTAAAACAAAATAAACTTTCACCCATTCCAGGATTTCAAGAACACACACAGAGAGAGAGAAGATATCTATAACAAATTTTATTGCTGTCTGACTGATTGCTTCGGGAACAATAAGTCTTCCAACTCAAGCTTCTAGCTATTCAAATACGAACGCTTCTCAGAAGCCATTTGGACCGCATCTGCTTTGTTAAAGAAAGTCTTTTGGGGGGTGAAAATCGGTGGCCTTTTGGGGGTGAAATCATCCACTTCATCGGGTTTTTCAAACAAAGCATTCAGTGGTCCTGTTACTACCTGCTGACCTAGAGAAATTCCCCAGAAACTTTTCGTTCGAAAAAAACGAGTTTTATATTTTTAAGAATTTCCAGTCTGACAGCAAGATTTTGGTATTTTTCATATGTAGATGTATTTAAAAAGAAACTAATTTGTTTTTTAATAAAGAAGAAAAAATTAATAAGCTTATTTAAATTTTTTACACAGCACTGAGTAAGGAGATGAAATTTAATTTTCTTTATAAATATTTTTCTCAGACAATACTTTACGTGTAGTGTTTTTCAAGTTACGAGAATAGCGCGTTAGTGCATGCATTTGGAAATCAGATTTATTTAATTAATATATATGGATATGCTGAACAAGCACACTTTCGCACATATAAACTGTATGTTATAAGGTATTTCTCCCACTTCGCTAGCGTGCCTTCTTGGTGTAACAGTAGCACTCTGGGCCGGTATTCCAGAGGTCTGTGGTTCGATTCCCGGCGAAGGTGGTTACATATTTTTCATCTTTTCTGCTTCCAATTAACCTAATGACTCTACATTGTTAGTACATACATAAAAATGAAATAAAATTTGAAAAACAAAGCAATTTAAAAACTACTGTATTCAAAAATTATTAAAATTTTTTGTTTTAACTTTTTTTTTTTTTTCGTTATATACATTTACTTCAGTTTTTTTATTATATGCATTTTACTTAATTTTATTTTGTTATATGCATCTGTTAGTCTTTTTGAAAAATTTTTAGATTTTTGAGTATGGCAAAGGAAACGAGATCTATCAGCCGAAGGCAATGAATGTCTCCATGGACGACTTTCTAAGTAAAACGTACTCATGTTCATGTTACACATAGGGGAAATCACAAAATCCAACCATGCAACCAGTTTCGTTTGTTTGGGTTCGAATATGAGTCGAAATAGCGATAATCAGAATCTTAGCCAGGAGGCCATTGATTGGGTTTGACAGATTTGGAAACCTAATAAATAGTATTTAATAAATATAATATTATTAAACGAATCGGATTTATATAAACCAAAGAAAATCCTTATATCGAACACAACTAAATCTCGATATAACCTACACTGATAAACTGATGTGTAATAACACTGATAAATTCAAATACTAAACGGAATATGCATTAATTCTATATAGATAATTTTTTTAAATTTATTTCGCTGGGAATGTCTGGCCGCAAAATCCTCATTATATGTACCCTTTTATTTTAGGGTTATCACATATCTGATGGTTTGGCTTCATTATCTGATGGACCTCAAAACACAAAGAATCCACAAACTTCAATAAAATTAATAACATTATTTCCCTGTTGAAAATTCTCTGGATCTTTTCAATTATAAAAGCACACGCATGAAGCAGTTTTCTTTAAATAAATATATGCAGCAACGAGAAGATGCGCTTTTGACAGCAACTCGTTTCGACAATCGAAAATTTTTCTAAACGTAAGAAATTTGTCGCTTAAATTAATTTTTCATTAAACAAAAAACAAAATAGAATCGCATATTATTAAAAATATTTTATTGATAATTCAGATTCTGAAAACAAGAACATTGTTATAAAAAAACAAGGAAAAAAATAAACAACATATTTCATTCAACGGGGCCAACTTTGGCGCATGAACTTTTCAACATAAAAATATTTGAAGCATGTTATGGATAAGGTTTATTTGATTATGGCAAGTACTCGATGGTTATTTGCCTAAGGTGAAGGATGCCTTCGTTCGAGGACTGCCTAACGGAAATTGGCTTGCATACATGTTACACATATGGAAAACTAAGAATATCATCCTGGCAACCAGCCCGTTTGCCGGGATTCGAACCCCGGACAGAACCACCAGTTGTTCCGTTAGACTCCGCTCAGTCGCCTGGTGGGCTGTCCGATAACGGAAAAGTTCAAAATTTCATATAGAGGAAAAGTGGTAGCATAGTATAATTCGAAGTTATTGCCATTTCAGTATGTGAAGCGATTTCAAGAATGTTTAATTATTTTATTTAGCTTATGACAAACTAAATGGCAAACTAATTAAACATTCTTGAATCGCTTCTCTTAACATACTGGTAGTTTGACCTGCATTCAAACCCCCGTGAACAAGCTGATTGCATGGGCGTTTTTATGGTTTTAACTCTTGTAGTATGAGATTGTTTCCTTAGAAAATCTGTCACGAAAGCATACCTCCCTTAGACAGATCGCCTTCACGTGCTTAATAATCTAACAAGCCAAACCAAACACAACCCGAGCGAGGACTCGTAGTCAAGGCACGTTCATCATGAAAAGCTAACTGAAATTGGCTCATATTCACATTAAACATGGCAGCAAAAATTCGGGAAAACTGGTATGCAGGCATCCATTGCCAGGATTTGAACCGCTTCAAACTATTAGTATTCACGATTTTACGCTACTTCGTTGGCGGCCTTTTGTAGTATCTATATGAAAAAATAATCGCAAAGACACATCATCATTGCGTACGATGGATGAATTAAGTTCGGAACTTAAAGAATAACTTTCATTCGTGCTATTGCTGTTAGCATTGACATTTGGACAGATGTTAATTTATTTAAATTTTTTAATGTAATTAATTTATATTCTTTAGGTAATTGTTCTTCTGACTGTAATTTTTTTTGTGCGTAATTCTAAACACTAACTGTTTTACTTAATTTACACTCCATTAATTTTAAGCGATTTTATACCGATAGATTTCTTTCCAAAAAAGTTTTCAAGGAATACCTATTTTTTTCCTCCTTGGATTTCTAAACATTGTGGTTTAAAATCTTAATATTAAAATTTTTAAAACAAAATATTTCTAGAAATTCCTTCGGCATATTGATTTATTCCATTTAATTGAAGTTTTCGAGTAGAATATCTTCCTTTCAACATTCATAAAATTTTTATATGTCAGTTCGCCATTTCTACGGAACACAGAGCCACACATATGAGTACAAAATTCAGGCATGCTGAAAGCTCGGTTTTAACATTTCAGAATGTAAAAAGAAGAATATACCATTATAGTAACGCACATTTGAAATACGAGTGCAAACAAGAAAGCTGGTTGCTACATTTTATATTTTTTCCTGACGAATCAGAAATTGTAATCAACTTTTAATACAAAAATAAAATATTTGATTGTATAACATATGATTTATTAAAAAGGGCGCCTTCCATTACAATTCTTATTTTTTCCTGTTTCTGCTAAAATTCGGCAATGTACTATAACAACGTCTGATTCTGTTTGACTTTCATTTGTATAAAGTACTACAAGGCAAACAGTTGTAAAACGATTTATCTTCATTCGCAAACTTTTAGTCGCTACACAGATAATACATACCTGCTGTGTGACAATGATGCTTCACTCTCAGGAATCTTTCGTAAAGTGCTCTTTTCAAAGAGACTTCACACCCCATTAAGCACTTTGTGTCAACTGACAACCACTTGCAGAAAGGTAGGTAAAGAACACCAGAGCGCATTGTCTAAACATGTCTTAAGCAATTTTGGCAAAATTTGGGCTTCGTGTATACACATCTTAAACATTTTTCGAGCGATTTTAAATTCATGTAAAGACGTCTAAAGCATTTTTAAAGGAATTTCTGAAAACGTTTAAACACGTCTTAAGCAGTTAAAGGGTTAAAGCTATTCTCTTTTATGTTGTTTATGTTTTTTAGTTTGCTGAAAACTTAGTTACCAACAAGTTTGCTACTTTCCAGTGAGGGTGCAGATAATCAGAAGGTATTGAAATTTTTAATTGTGAAAAAATTATCTTAAACTTCTAGGAATAAAGTCCTTATAGACATCTTACAAATATATCATTTGTAAAATTTTTGTAAGCAAGAATCTATGTGTTTTAAACAATATTTAATTTGTTAAACTTTTAACTTGTATTAGTGCTATAATAAACATGAATACAAATATTTTGTATCTCAAAAATGCAAGATTCATTTTGTATTTTAGTTAACATGTTTTTAACTATTATTTATTTTAATAGGGATATCCTGTATAGTTCTCTCACTAGTTACTGGTTCAGGGACTCCATTTCAAAACCTCAATAATTTGTCCCCGAATCCATCTGCATATCAAGATGGTTTATCAGAAAATGAATTTAAAGACTTGACATCTACTTCGATGTATACTGTCAAAAAAGACAAGTCCCCAGGTGAGGTTCTTCTTTCTTCCTTATGTGAGTTATGTAATGCAAAATGTTAAATAGTTGCTTGCATTGTTCTCCTTATAAAATTATTTAAAACTCTAATCTTTTTTTTTTTTTTTTGCATGAAACATGTATACCTATAAAAATAACTTTTTTGTGAAGGCAACCTCTTTGATGGAAATATAAACAATAGTAAAATTATTTCAATCAATTAATAATTTGTTTTCACCCACCATTATTCCAAGATGTTTTAAGATTATTTCAGCAAAGATTAGAGATAATTTTTAAAAAAGACTATGTTCTTTTTAGCTTGTTTTTAAATACTGATTTTGATTTCTCTTTCTGTATGTCTACAGATCTTTCTGTATGTTTACCGATATTCAAAATAATGATATATTTGTTTATTATAGCTTGTAAAATAAAATAAACATTTTCTAGTGGGGGAAAAGTGCATTTATATCTCCCCCATTAAGGCAAAAATGCATTTATGGAATTTTATCTTTCATATTATAAAACTGCTTTGCTGACTAGTATAACAAAATGAATTGTATCTGTACTTCTTGATGGGTTTCTGAAATACAGATAATTTAGTCTAAAAAGCATTTTTATTCATATTGCTTAATAGTATTTTGCAGCAAATGTTATTTTATGTCATTAGTATAATAAATAAAATATATCTCTAACACTATAGATGTCAATTCCAATATTTATAGGTCTGATTATTTTATATGTTGTTAAGTTTATCAAAAACAAAATCTGACTGTAACAGAATTTTGTAGCAACATATAAACTCCATTAGTATTTTGATATTTACCTACTTGTACTTTACATTAAAAAAAGAAATGCAGGAATATATGCTAGAACTTTCAAAACTGAAACTGAGTTGCTTTGTGAGTTTTAATTTTATTTAGCCCCCTCTTCTTCTTCAACAGCATCGTACCTGTAAAGTAGAATTCTTGAGATTAAGGTTTGCGCTAGCTGCGTATAACAAAATTGCGCCCCCCCCCACCAAGATAACTGAAGTTAACAAGTCCTTTACCATCAAAAAATTGGTAAAGAATTTTGTTCTGTATTTGAACGTGCAGCCCTACTTTTCCATGCAGACACATTGCTTCCTTTGGGCGGCAGTTACCTTTTGTCCCATTGTCTACAGACAAAAATGTTTTTTAAAAATTTCCTGCGAAAGGAAGCTGCAGTGGGTCCTGTATCAAGAAGGGTGGTAGTAGGAACATCATTCAGTAAAATATTATCTCTGGCAAAACAAAGTTTTGTACAACTACCGTATAAACTACCATTTTGTCAACTTGATTTCCGAGAGACTTTTCTTCTCACATGGTGATCAGGCACTCTCTTCAGCCACCATGTTCAGTTTAACTTGTTCTTTTCTGACCCTTGGTTCTGCTGCTTTTTATTTTTGAATGCCTTAGACTGACTAGTCTTTCTGTTATCTGATTTTTCATTTTTCCTCGTTTGCCGATATGAACTCTGTTGACCTTGATGATTCTTCTGCAGGTACAACCTTGAATACTGGCGAAAGTTGCTTGTATGCGCATTTTCCGCAGTTCACCTGCTTTGAAATTACAGTACAAAGTCCGTAATCCGGACTCCTCGGGACTTCGGCGATTCCATATTAGGGGTTTTTCCAGATTATGGATCATCAATTTAAATCTGGTCAGATGGCATGCAGAAATTACACAATTAAAAATATAAAACCTTAATTTATGAAATAAAGAGCAATGATCTAAAGGGTATCAAAATTTACAAAAAAAAAGCTTAATATTTATTTGTTTACTTTATTAAAATTTCTCTCAATGTAAGTTGTTTAAATTGCTTCGTTTTATGTGCTAATACTTTTTCTTTAACTCTATAAACAGACATAATTTCTTGTTCAGTTACAAAGTTCCACTGTTCAAGTCCTGTAATTGCTGTGTCGAGAATACCGTCTTAACTTGTCAATCGATATTTTTTCATTTTCAATAACCTCTCTGTCACGTTCTTAACTATCGGAAGTGTTATTTTCTGGATCTACAACCATACTACAGATTTCACCATCCATTAATTGATTGATATTTTGGGCATTATCGTCGCAATGAAAAACTTCTGTCAGATCATCTTCATTTATTACCGCTTCTCCACATTTCTTTACAAAATCCAATAACTAGAAAATTTCACCTTTAATTTGCGAGTTTCGAAAACCTTCATATTCGCGGCTATCATCTTCATCGTCCTCACCATGAAATATGGTAGCTGGCCACAAATTATGCTAAGCATGTTTTAACGTATCTGGAAATACACCCTCTTAACGCGCATGCGTAAAGCATACAAAAAAAAAAAAAAAAAAAAAAAGTTGTGGATTTGAGGTCTGGATTATAGATCATTCCAGATAATGGATATCTGGATTATGGACTTTGTACTGTATACCGCTAATTGGAATAGATTTTCTAACGTTTGCAGGTTTCTGATTTCAAGAAAGTCCTGGATTGACGGGAGTAGGCGTGGCAATATTACTTTAATAAGTTCATTATTGGGCCTTTTTCCATATCTTCTCCTTCTTCATAAGCTCCACAGCCGGTTAACGGCCAAGGCTGTCTCTCCAAGTTTCCTCCACCTGACCCTATTTGGCACAATAACCTTCCATTGATTAACTCCAATTAACATTAAATCTTGCTCGACGTCATCTATCCATTTAGTGGGTAGTCTTCCTTTTCGTCTCACTCCCTCAATTCTAAAAAAAGGTTATCTTTTTGGTTGGAACTGCATCATCATATCTAAACACATGGCCTAGCCATCTGATATGAGATGCCTTTATGATTCTGACACTATCAGTTTAAACATATTTGCAATATTTTCCATATAGTTCATGATTATAGAGAATCCTCCACTACCCATTTTGTTCATTTTGTTGTACCTGTCCAAAGATCTTCCTTATGATTTTTCTTTCAAAAGTTGTTATTAGGTCTTTCTCTTCTCTGTTAAGTATCCAACATTCACTTCCTTAACTGGCAACAGGCCTTAGTAAAGTTTTATATAAATTTAATTTAGCTTGTACGTTAATTAGTTTGGATTTAAGTTGTTTTTTAAGGTCTTAATAACATCTTTTAGCCACAAATATTCTACTCTTTATTTCAATTTTTATACATTTGCAGCTTATGATCAATGTGCCCAGATATTTAAATTGTTTTACGGTTTCAAAGGTATAACTGTTTATCTTCAAGGGGGATAAATCAACAGTTTTATTAGGCAATAATAAATTTTGTTTTGTCTTCATTAATGATTAGGCCCATCTTTCTTGCTGCATTCTTTTTCCATAAAGGAAATTAAAAATTTAGATCTTCCTTAAGATAAAGTCCATTAAATCCTCGAAATTCATTTGATACTTGCTAAAAAATTCTGCCTCAAGCTTCACACAGTCTTTAACAACTGGGAAGGCTTTCACTAGCGCTCTTTTAAGATTTTCCTAAATAATTTTCCTAATATAATTTTTTGAACCTGGATCCCCCAACAAAAACTTGCCAATTCCTTTATAACAACTGAAAGCATGGCCCTTTAGGTTCGTAGTTAGTGATGGTAATTGTCTGCAGCTGGTTCAGTGGATATGACATGAAATGTAATTCCAGCTGCTCGAGCCTTTGCCGTTGAATGTTGAGGTTGGCTTCATGCCTGCTTGCATTGTTTCCATGATGAATCTGAATCCCTCCATCGGATTTGCTGAAGGTTGAGGGACTTGAAAGATCAGAGGGATCAAAAAAACTTTTCGTTCTCTAATGGTATAGTTTGTAAAAATGCTTCGGGCCCCAAATGTGGAGTTCCAACCTTTTATCTAACAGCTAAGTGTGTAGGAACCTCGTGAACACTTAAGTGAATAATCGCTTTAGTTCAGAAACAGATATGTCAAACTCAAGAAGGGTTAATTACCCTTTATTTCTCAAAATAGGAAATTAACAGATGACTCCTTCAGAGCGTACAGCGAAGGCTTCACTTACGCTTGAACTTAAAGTAATAAGAAGTAAAAGTTAACTAGGGCTTAACTAAAAAGTATAGTCGAAGCTATCAATATTTCTAAGTAGTTGGCCCCTAAAATATCAACTAAGCTGGTGAAGCTATCAAGGGACTGAAATATGGCCAAGCATAGTAATAGCTTAGAGTGTACCCAAAAGGCGAATGCGTGCTAGTCAGAATCTCTGGCTCTCTCTAACAAAGTCAGTGGAACTTCGACTTAAATACTGTGCTTACTCGTTTGCATTAACCGTCATTCTAAAAATACATTCTGATAGGAAATTGTAAGCTGAAATTAGAAGGGACAGGAAAGTAGCTTTAACTAAAGATAACTGTTAAAAACTTAGGATAAACCTTACAATATATATATATATATAATTGCATATTTGCTTTCAGGTCCTGTGGCTCTAATTAGGTTTCAGATATGGAGTGTTGGGAAAGATGTCAAAGAGCAGATTGAACTGAAACTTGAAAATGCTGTTCGACATGCATTATGGGATCTTCTAATGGAATATTGTGCTTTGACTTCTCCAATTTCAGATTCTGCTTATTTAGATGATTCTTCTTGCTATAGTGAACCGACAACACCCATAAGAAGTTTGTATTAATATGTTATATGATTTTTTTAAATTTTAACTTTGTTTTTTATATCTTAGAAAAGAACTGACCAAAAGTGTGCCAATCTAAAACTCACTAATGCCTGATCCATGCAGCTACTTAGGTGTCAACAGTGGAATCCAAGATTGATAAGAATCCAAAACAACATAAATTATTTTGGAAATATTTTATGCAACTTATTAGTGAAGTGAACTGGACAAGCTGAGTTAAAACAATGACATTGCATGATTCTATGTTAAAACTCAACTCTATTTGTAAGAATCCAAAAAAACATGAATTATTTTGGAAATATTTTATGCAACTTATTGGTTAAGTGAACTGGAGAAGCTGAGTTAAAACAATGACATTGCATTTTTCTATGTTAAAACTCAACTCCATTTGTGAATGTGAAGATAGCTTTGGTGAAAAATTTTCTCATTCTGTGTTGAATTAAACTACTATGTTTCATGTATTATCACTCTTATAGCTGTCATAAAGTAAATATTTTTCAAAATTTCATGCGTTTATCACTAAAAAGAAGATTAAATCTTTTGTGTTATAATCCAGCAAGACTGGAATAGTTAGAATTTTAAACTTTTATTGGGACCAGAACTAAAACAATCCCTCCCCCCTCATATCAGAATGGTGAGTTCTAAATAAGTTCATGATTTTCTAATGATAATACGGGGGGGGGGGGTAAAGCGAATTTAGAAAAACAAAACTGTTAGTTAATATGGAATTATAATGAGTTGATTATTAGAGCAAGGAAAACATTGAAAGTTTTAGAACAAATTATGTAAAGCTGTTAAATGTTTTCTTATCTAAATTTTATAATATATTTAATATATAATATCATCTAAAATATTATCTATATATTAATATTTATGTAAAATTATATACATTTATATATAATTGTTTAATATTTTTAGATGTTTCTTATATGAATCAATATTTTAATATATATTTTTATAACATACTAATTCAATCAATGTTTATCACTGTATATTTAATGTATATTTTTCTATAAAATTGTAAAAAAGAAATTAATTGCTTATGTGCTTTCCAGATTTTGTGTTTATTTATTCTGCATCTAATGAATTTTTTTTTGTGTATATCTGAACAAATGCAAACTATCGATCCCAGTGAAGCAAGTTTCTGGGTCCATTTATTCCGTAATATTTTTAGGATCCGCTATGTATTTTTCTAATTTAATAATCTTTGTAAGCTTCTTTTAATAATAATGCATCTGTGTACTGAAGTAGTTTTAAGTATCTAATATTATTTTATTCATTCCTGACTTAATATGCTTTCAAATGCAAATGAAGATAATCTTTGGAAGCATATCAATAGTTAAATAAAAAAAATAAAAAAACTTGTGTTTTATATTATGTAAATCAGTAATAGTTTAAGTAGTTATGTGCAGACCACATAGTTTATTTTGAACTTAGTTTTACTTATTTACTTTGCTATGTTCTTTCTCATAGCTCGGAGAACAGGGCTTTCTACTGTTGATCCTAATCTCCAGTTGAAGGATTTTCATTCATCTGTAGGACTTCAAATTTCCAAAGAGATGTCATCATCTGTTCCAGATATTACTGTGAAAGCACATTCACCACCATCTTTGTTGAAGGAAATTCCAGCATTTAAAGTAAGTTCTTGTTGTGCTGTTCACGATGTATATATTATTGAAGTTTTAACAAGTGCATTTTGTGTCTGTACAGTTTATGTCTTATTTTGTATCAATATTTTGATCTGCTTTTTGAGTAATCGCAGTGTATTCTATAATTTATTATATTCTACACATTAATTATGTAAAAATTACAAAATTTAAATTGGAATGCTTCACATGTTATGAAAACTTCAATTTAAAATCTGGTAATAATATGTGATGGTAAATTACAGCCATCTGTTATATTGTGAAAGTACATTTTGAATTGTAGTTTTTCATGACATTTGGAGCACATCTAGACTATTCTGTTCTGTAATTTATACATGGTTGCTGTAAACAGTATTAATTTATATCATGTCACTCCTCCTCGCAAATACAAATTTTATGTAAGGTTTTTAAGTAATATAGAAGAAAGGGGAAAAAAAGAAACTTTCATCTGCTATATTAATCAGCTTTCATTTAAATTTTTGTTTACTATTGTTATTTACAATCCATTATTATGTAATTTTTAGTTGAAAATTTTAACTGCATGGCAATAGATGTCCGTACGTTTTAATTTATAGAAGAAATTGAGTTATTATGGGAAAGCATAATCAAAATTCAAAACTTTTGCATTAATGTGTTTCTTAAGATTTCAGGAAAGCTAGTAATTTGCGTGTGATGGAGCAGGAGAATAGGTAGGCTGAGTCCAGATTTTCAATTCAGAATAATTTAATTTTTGCATTTCTGATATCATGAGTGTTTATGTGTTGACTTCATGGAAAAAATTTCATTTTTTTTTTAAAGCTGGTCCAGGTATTTTTTCATTAATAGCTTACTTTAACCATTTTTCTCAATACAGTTTCTCAGTGATTGTTGTTTTTATATCATATTTATAAAGCTACTCATAATACAGTGAAATCTCAATCTATCTTTTTTCAACAGAATGTTGAAAACATATGATGCATGTGGGAAGAGGATAATGGGAAACTTTTACTTATTCTAAATAAGTAACATTCAATACTCTCAGCATGAATACAATACATTATTAAACTCTTTTAAGCAAAATTTATTCATTAGCCTTTGTTCTTCAACAGAATTTTGCTTCATTTAAAAATATGACTGTCTGAGACTTAAAATGTTTTGGTTATTAATGATGTACTTTGAATATAGAAAAACATATTTAATTTCTTGTCCAGCTCAGAAATGCAGAGTGATACTCTGCATCTTCAATCTTCATTCATTTTTATCTTCTTCATCTTTGCTCTTTTCTGACCCAAACTGACTGCTAACTCATGGAGATCAACAGCAATAAACCAAATGGGTGGTAAACAGAAATAAACTTATTACAACTTGTTGTGAAATGATATTTGGGAAATGTTCTAAATAGGGTAGATAATGAGTTGAGGATGTGTAACTATGTTGCTCTACAAAGTGTTATTATATTGCTGTAATTACAGACCAGACCAATTATTAACACAAATAATAACAATTAATTTCAGATATTTTTTTTGAATGAGTTATGTAAGAAATATTGTAATTAAGTATAATTTATATATATTGTAAAATAACATATGCTGTTATGGAAAATAAAAGCTGTAACACAGTATTTTAAGGAACAGTGATTGAAGGAATAAGTAACATTATTTAAATAGAACTTCATGGAAGACCAAAAATAACGTATGATATATGCAGCAAACCAGTCATTGTGGGAATGAAGCTTTATTATAACGAATAAACCTTATTCTTTCAAAATGACCGAATATTATCCTTATCATATTCAATATTTCATTATTAAATTAAATGTGCTTCAAATTTTATATTCTTTATTTGTATATAATGTTAGATATGACAGTATAAACTTTCATAATTATATCATTTGTTTGATTTCATCTTTCTATATACTGTATGTGAGATAAAAATCAATGTATGTGAGATCAAGGGTGCTGTTACTGGTTTTATTAGGAAGAAAATTGATAACTATTTACTGAACATGTAATATCAATTTATAGCATAACATATCATTCAGATATAAATTTGATATATTACTAGAAAGTGTGATATTATTGGCATGCTTAAAGTGTGAAGTATTTATTATGCTTTCTGCTCTCAAATATATGGTAATATAAGTAAGGGTTTAAAAAAATCATTTGCTTAAATATATATAGTAATTTTTGGGCTTGAAGCATGAGCTAAAAAAAATTATACGTAGAATTTATAAATAAAAATTTATTATATTATTCTTTTTCTGATTCTGATGGGGGTATTCTTTTTAATGACTCATTTTTTGGAGGGAGGAAGCTTTTATGTGAAAATGTATGTCAAAAAGAACTTTGAAATTAGCTTTTGAAATATATGCTGTACTCTTGATAAATTACCATTGAAGAAAATTCTTTTGTATTTTAAGTGATTCTTAATAAATTAATTTTAAACTCTTAAACAAAATACTTGCTGATTTTAATTATTGATAATATTCCAGGTGTGAGGTCAGATTTTTACCTTTCAATTAATAATTCCACTCCCACACATATTTTATCTTAACTCTAGTCCATTATTATTATATCTTTTGATGTTATTCATTATTCTACTTATTATTTAATACAAATTAGTGTTATTTTATTAAATCTGTCCCTAAATTTATTTTTCAACTGAGAGAAGGTAGTCAATATTGGTAGAAAATGTATCTGTGTAACATATATAATTAAATGGATTTTTGACAATTAATGAAAAAAGGAATAAACAGTAATATAAAATTGAAGTCAAAATTTAAATTATTGTTACTGATCGTTGAAATCTGAATTGAAACTGAAATTGATATAACCTATAAATGCTATCAAATATGGTGCTATCAAATGTGCCCAGTTGTAATGAATGGTGATTGGAATGTTATGAAATAAAATCAAGTTATCTGTACTCTTTTCTTTTTTTTTTCGGGGGGGGTGATTCCAGGTGTGTTACAATCTGGACAGAGCAAAACACACACAATAAACCTGAAAACATTTGTGAAAGTTATCAGTGCAAAGTTAGTGGCATCGTGGTGTGGGTAGGCATTATTTTGAATGGCTGCACTGGTTTAGACATTTCAAGCAATGCAGCTAGGAATGATGAAATGTACAGAGATGAAGTTCTTGTTTTTTATATCTGGTTGTGTAGGGGTGCAATCCACAATAACATCCTCCTTATGGACAATAATGCTTATTTATGTCCCATAGTGCTGAATGACTGACTGATTATGTTAAAGGTGAAAGAATCTATTGGATGGAGTAGCCTTTATGTTTTCCAGATTTAAGTATGATTAAACATGAGTGGGACATACCAAAACCTCGAATTATTGCAGTCCCACTTTAGCACCCTCCAATATCTTCATTGTGAATATGTGTTATTACCACAAGAGCTCCTGAACAATTTAATACTAAGCATGGAGAATTGCTGTAAATCGTGCATATTGGTGAGAGATGACTATACACCTTATTACACTGCTGGCCACTGTAAATGCAACACTCTGAAGGAAGCATGCAAATAACTGAATTTACCAAAATTGCAGAGGTGAGAGATGCTGATAGAATTCAGTGCAGACACACATCACAAGCGCCTGTGGCGCCACTTCAAAGCGCTATTTAAGGCTTGGAGTTTTCGACGATTTCAATTTTGGCAATTGTGTTTTTCTTGTATTTTTTTCAAAAAAAAAAAACGATCAATTATGCCTCAAAGTAAACAGCAATCATCGTTTGATCAAGTATCCGAGTTCACCAGAGGAAGGATAGTAGCCTACCAAGAGTGTGGATTATTTTTCAAGGAAATTGGTAGTCGTGTTGGATGAAACCAAACAACTGTAGTGCGGATATGTGACCATTGGATGCAGGAGGGTACGACGGGCAGATGTGTTCGATCGCATCCACCTCAGTACACCACTTCATGTGATGACAGGAATATTGTGTGCATGGCAGTGACAGATCGCTTAGTCACATCACGAACCATAGTACAGCACATTCAGTCTGTAACTCATCATCCATGTAGACGTACCATTCAAGCCGTTTATAGCAGAGTGGTCTGTCCGAAGACGTCCATTCCATCGTCTACCTTTGACACAGAACCACAGACATCTCCGCCGCCAATGGTGCGATGAAAGAAGGGTGTGAACGCAGAATGGAATGAAATTGTCTTTACTGACGAGTCACACTTCTGTCTGCAAAACCATGATGGTCGGATTCGAGTCTGGAGACACCGTGGAGAGAGGATGCTGAACAGCTGCATTATCAGGGTTCGTGCAGTCCTTAAAGACCCGTTCACATGCAACGCTCTTTTGCACAGCCCCTGTTTGTATTAGGGAGAAACAGGAATATGAAGCAGTTTTGCCTTCAGGACCGGTTCAGATGCACATTGTCTTTAGTCCCTTAACCCATAAGCCACTGCGAGCAATGAATGATGTCACAAACGCGAATCAGATTTGGCACATTTACTTTCTCTTTTTACATTGTTTACTATTGCTATGAATGCCCTCAGAGTTTAACTCTTTTTTAATTAAATACACCTAAATTAATTTAAATTGCAATTTATATATGAGACAAATGATAAAAGAAGTAAAAAACCACTAGTGCGAGCAGTTTCACTAACATGTTTGTGTGGCTGCAAAATTAAACTGGCTTTTTGGAAAAACAGGACTAAAACGACAAATTAATATAAGATTAATAATTAATTTTAATATTGATATAAACATATTAGAAAATAATTATAATAGTCATTGTTAAAATATTTGAACGGTTTATAAAGATTTTAAATAAAGCTTGATTTACGTTTAGATTAATTAATGGAATAGCACTGGCTTTTTTTATATCTTGTAATGAATTCAGCAATAAATTGTAAGAAATTTGAAATGATTAATGACCATATAGACAACTTATTCTTTAAAATGCTTTTTCTTAATTTTTCATAAATTCCTTTTATTTAATTTATTAAGTTTCGTAAAACTATAGATATTATATAGACCTAATTATTTAATT